GGAAACTCATTTCACCAAATATATTACAATTAAAAAAAAAAGAGTGAGTTTAAGTGCTGTTTATATTAAGAAAAATATTAGTAATTATTTTTTGTTAATTTTAATAATTACGATGGCCTCCCGAGAAGGAAAGCAGTATAGCATCGTCCATAGTAATTCTCCGCTTTATTTTCATACAGAAGAAGCACGGCAGGAATTCTTAAGAGTTTGTGTGCCGCTCACGAAAGCTGCATTAAGAGGTGATTGGGAAACTGCTAGATTTTTCATAGACCAAGATCGGAGCATTTTAACCGCCAGCATTACGAAAGGCCGCCATACTGTCCTCCACCTCGCGGCAGGATGCGGCTGCGCGCACTTCGTCGCGCAGGTGGTCAGGATGATGAGCCGCGGAGATCTCGAACTTCAAGATCTCAAAGGGAACACTGCCTTGTGTTTCGCGGCTGCAAAGGGAGACGTACAGGTCGCCGAAATTTTGCTAGCGAAGAACAAGGTTTTAGCGACAATTCGTGGTGGTCAAGGAATGACGCCGCTTTATATGGCTGTTTTGTTTGGACGCTCTGAGATGGCCTCACTTTTGTATCCATTAACTAAAGAATGTTTTGATGACAAAGATCGAATTGGCACTTTTTTCACTTGCATCGACACTAGCCTCTACGGTATGTAGATTCTGATCAACATATTACTCTCAATTTTTCCCCAAATATATATATATATATATATGGGAACAGTATACATTTTAAAACAAATACTTAACTTCGGGTCAAAGTTTCACAAACTGCTATACTAGGAAGAGATTAAGCTCGTATATCACCTTGTTCATGTCTCCTTTTGTATTTCCTCAATAAATGCCATATCAGTTAAAAATATTTTAGCTGTCATAACTTTTTAATTGATATAATATATATAAAATTTTAATTAAAGTGATATGATATTATTAGAGGGACATAAAAATAAAGAGATATACGAGTCAATTATGAGAGAAAGTAGTATTAATGTGTAAGCTCACATTCTCAAAATTTAAATAATTGTACGATCACCGTGTGGTCGTATTAATACCTACGAAAATTTTGTGCAATTAATATGTTTTTTTTTTATTGTCAGCTAGCTATATATTAAGCCTTTCAACTTACATTTTTTTTTCTTTTATAATTAGTTCTTATAGCTAAGATTACTGCATTACTGTTAATTTTGCAGATTTAGCACTAAAATTTTTTAAGGACGACAAGTCACTGGCTGTAGCTCGGAACAAGGATGGCAAGACAGCTTTACATCTCTTGGCTCAAGCACCTTCAGCATTTGCCAACGAGAATTCAAAAGGGTGGAGTAAACTCATCCAATCAAGTAAGTTATTTTTCGCCAAGAAAGGAAAAAAGAAAGTGCAAGTTTTATCCATTGTCAGTGTACGGATATTAATTTACATATATAGCTCAAAATTTTTCTAGTTAAAAAGGTTTAAAAATAAAAGCAAAAAGAGTTACAAACTGCATACTGTTCTCTGTTGTAAAAAACAAATTAAATCCCATGTAAAGTTTCTGCTTATTATACTGTCCTTAATCTGTAGATCTTGTTTACTAACAAGCATATACAAAATTCAAGTAATGCCAGGTTTGAACTTTAAATTGAAGAGAAAGCACTCGCAGCAAACTAGTGCCCTTGAGCTAGTGAGATGTCTTTGGAAACAAGTTTTAAACATTGGTCATGATTATACCATGGAGCAGATCAGCCATCCGTCAGAACTACTGTTTGATGCAACAAAATTAGGCAACTTTGAGTTCATAGCAGAGCTTATCAGCTCTTATCCGGATTTAGTATGGGCAACTGATAGACAAAACCGAAGTATAATTCATGTCGCTGTTTTGAACCGTCATGCGAACATCTTCAACTTAATACACGACATTGGTCCAATCAAAGACATTCTTGCAACTTATGAAGATGATGAGGAGAACAACATATTGCATTTAGCTGCGCAGCTACCCCCTCTAGAAAGGCTCAACATTGTATCAGGAGCAGCTTTGCAAATGCAGCAAGAGTTATTGTGGTTCGAGGTACTTAATTCTTTCCGATTCTTTGTGATTGGCTCAACATTGTGCTTCGAATTTTTCCCCTACTTTTTTGTTTACTACTATCAAGTTAACATTGATGTTTGGTTCATGAATTCAGAATCATGATTCAGAATTATTCTCGGTTTACGTGTATTTTTTGTGAGAGAAAATACTGTAACGAATAATGAACTACGATTCAAATCATGATACAAATAGCCTGTGAATTACTATATATTAGCTCATTGTTACGGGGGCTGCTTTTCTTTTCTAATTTTAGTTCTTTTATGACTTAGGTTTCTTCGATTCGATGACGTTATTTATGTCCTGCAGGAGGTCAAAAAGATTGCGCAACCTCTTTATACGAAGGAGAAAAACAAGAAACGAAAAAAACCTAAAGAACTGTTTAGTATTCAGCACAAGAGGTTATTAAGAGAAGGAGAGTCATGGATGAAAAGCACAGCCAATTCATGTATGATCGTGTCGACCCTCATCGCTACTGTAGTGTTTGCAGCTGCATTTAGCTTACCAGGAGGTAACGATAACTCGGGAACTCCCAACAATCTTCAGTACACCTCGTTTCTGATCTTTGTTTTGTCAGATGGGTTGGCAATGTTTTCCTCTGTTGTTGCAATACTCATGTTCCTTTCTATCCTCACGTCGCGCTACGCCGAAAACGACTTCCTCAAATCGCTGCCATTGAAGCTGATGATCGGACTGGCATCACTCTTTTTCTCCATGATAACCATGATGATTGCTTTCAGCTTCACTTTCGTTATTGCTTATCATCACTACGCGTTAAAATGGGTCCCTTTCTTAATTTCTATTTTCGCATTTCTTCCCATTGTTGTGTTTGCTGTTCTGCAGTTTCCACTTCTGTTTGACACTTTCAGTTCAACATACTGGTCTAGAGCTCTTTTCCAGCCAAATAGACATATGTTATACTAGGAAATTAAGTTCAATGTTGTATTCAACATTCTATCTGCATAATAATGTATATATTCTTAAAAATTAGACTTCTATGGACACATTTTACTTCTGTTTTGATTAGTAGTTTTTTATTTTTATTTTTATTTTTTATTTTTTTTGTAACTTTGCTACATATTACAATCATAATCCAGAAGTTTTGGATTACTTCTAATATGTAGCAAAGTTACAAAAAATAAAAATAAAAATAAAAATAAAAACTTTTGCCACAAAATATTCTTTGCTAGTGGGGTTTTGGAGAAAATTAGAACAGTATAATGAAAAGACTTTTTAGTACAAATGCCCCGGAGTTTTCGGGGTGATAATCTTGGGGAGGTCAGAAGGGTTGTCTTCGTAATTTTTATGGAGATTTTGTCATTTTGATACCAAATAAAGTAACATGTATATGGCTATTAAAATTGTCCTCATATACAAGGGTGGAGAAAAGTCAAAGTATATGGTTTGACATAGTTTTACACGTATCTATGGTTTATGTCATTTTACATAATTGCAAATCATTCATAATTCTTTTATTGGAAATAAATCAATTATGCAAATCACTGTTACGATACTGTGTTCTATATTATCTTGAGAACTAGAGAGTCCAGAGATTTTCTTTCAATAATTGTCCAGACTCCAGAGATTTCGAATCACAATTTAACCTTTTTAATATATAATTTTTTAATATAAATTTATTTTTCAACTCTAACCGTGAAAAGAACGGCCCCAATATTTTACCCTTTTTTTCTCTCTGTTTTGTCCTTCGCTTTGGTGGAGAAATAACTAGCGGACCACATTCACCACATGTCGTTTTCGTCTAGCCGGTTCCGTCGCCTTTCTTCTATATGAACCATACATCCGCATACGCTTATCAGTCAAACAACTGAATTTCGACTTACAATTCTCTAATTTCCAAAGATCAACCCACAAAGACCAGTAATGGCGGAAGTGATCAACAAGCAAGTGTTACTAAGAGATTACGTGTCTGGTTCTGCAAAGGAATCGGACATGATTGTCACCTCTTCGACTACGAAGCTCAAGCTTCCAGAAGGTTCCAAAGGGGTTCTCGTTAAGAACCTTTACTTGTCCTGCGATCCTTACATGCGAGGCCGTATGAGGAAGTCCAACCTTAGCTCTTATGTCGATGCATTCAAGCCCGGTTCTGTGAGTCCTCACACTTCCACTTATTCTTTCATTTGGTAATATGAAAATTGAACCTCTCTCTCTCTCTCTCTCATCTGGGTGTTTGAGCATTTGGGTTATTTTTTAATTTTTTAATTTTTTTGTCTAAGAATTAAATAATGATAAAAGAAAGATTTATAAGTGTACATTTAATTGATAAATTCGTATCATTATTTAAATCATAATTCATAATTTATTATAATATTATTTTTATAAAAAATATATATAAATTAATGACTTGTTTAGTTCGTTGATTTGAGTTTTTAATTTGAGTTAAGATGTGATTTTATGTGAGAATTTTTTACTATAGTAAAAAAATTAGATGTAATTATTTTTGAGAATTTTTTATTGTAACAAAACTCAAATTCTAAATTCGAATCGGTAAAGTGAACGGGATGTAAGAATAATTTTAAATTATAATTTTAAATTTATGAATTAAACGTTTAATAAATTTAAAATATTGCATCAGAGAAAGCGGCGCAATGATGTTTGGCTACTCAATCTTTTCCATAAGAGCAAATGAATTTTTTTTTAAAATTTTTCCTCCTTTGTATATGGGAATTTTGGATTTATTAATGAAAAATGCTAACATCCCCTTTTAGTCACTCTTTTATTACTTTCTGTATTGGTTAGTTTTCTGCCCAATCTTCTGTTTGTCTACAGTCTACCACCAAATGACTTCGATTTAAAAACTTTGCAGCCTATCACCGGGTATGGAGTGGCTAAAGTGTTGGATTCTGGCGATCCAAACTTTAAGGAAGGCGATTTGATATGGGGAATAACAGGGTGGGAAGAGTACAGTGTTATCAATGCAACGCGCACACACTTTAAAATTCATCACACTGATGTTCCACTGTCTTATTACACTGGCATTCTTGGTAAGCTTCTGCATATCCGGACAATGGAGTCATAAAAATTTTGTTCAGATGATCATTTCATGGTGCTAAATGTTTTCTTTTTCCCGAAATAAAAGAAAAGAGATCCTAATTCTTGCCTTACTGATATAACATGTCATATTGGCTGTGTTGTTCTTGATATTTTGATTATACCGTCGGCGAGTTGCGGAATGGAAAATGTGCTCCATACTGAAGTTGATGTGGGACAGTAGAGAAGAAATAGAATAAAGAGAAAGAGAAAGAGAAGTAGAAGAGGACTTGGTGAAAGTTGAGATAGTATAGAGAGAAAAACACGAGTTGGAGAAAGAGTTTAGAATTTAGATAATGATGAAGTTAAGAACAAGAGAAAGAGAGACTGGAGGAATTTTCTATATCATTAATCGATTAATCAAGTCTTCATTCCAATGACAATCTTTAGACCTCTTTATGGAGAAGAAAACAACAAGAAATAGAAACTAAAATATAATGAAAACTATCCAACCACGAGTAAAGGGAAACTTATTTAAATAGTTTTAAGAAACTTATTAGAAACTCTAAGAAAGGCATCGGGAAATGAAACTTAAACAACTTACTATTTTCCAATGAAAATCTTCAGACCTCTTTGTGGAGAAGAAAACAACAAGAAAGACAAACTAAAAAAAATAATAATGAAAACTATCCAACCATGAGTAAAGGGAAACTTATTTAAGTAGTTTTAAGAAACTTGTTCAAAACTCTAAGAAAGGCATTAGGAAATGAAACTTAAACAACTTACTATTTTTATTTATGTTGATATTTCTCATAAGCTATTCTTGTTACTCATAAGAAACACTAAGTTTATTATGGACAATATTTCAGGTATACACAAGTTTGTGATTTGTCCTGTTTGATAAATTCATCGTATTTATAATTGTATGTAGGTATGCCTGGTATGACTGCTTATGTTGGTTTTTATGAGATTTGCTCTCCTAAGAAAGGAGAATACGTCTTCATCTCAGCAGCGGCCGGAGCGGTTGGTCAGCTTGTTGGGCAGTTTGCTAAGCTTGCAGGTTGCTATGTCGTAGGGAGTGCTGGCAGCAAAGAAAAGGTATCGTTGTATGGGAGTATTCAACTCTACAATCTTCAATAAATCCGACTCTCCACTCTGCAGCTGCTAATGAAATTTTTATTTTTCCATTACTTTACAAAAATGATTCAAGTTTAGTGAATCCTAAAAGCCCGTTTGTTTTGTGGGTTGAACTATAGTTTCTTTCCCTTTTTGCTACAGTGTTTTATTTCACAAAAAATTTCAATTTCCGTTCAAAGTTCGAACTTTCCATTTAAACCTATGAACCAAATGGGCCATGAATATTTTATTGTCAGCATGCACTTGTCTAATGCCACGCCCAAAATCAAATGGCTGGGAACATAAATGTTAAGAGTTTAGGTTTAGGAGTTACCGAGTCAATTAAGTGTACCAAATGCTGCCATGAATACATCTGTGTTTAATTTGACATTTGGTTCATAGATTCAGAATCATGATTCAAAAGCATTCTCGGTTTACGTGTGTTTTTTGTGAGAGAAAATACTGTAGCAAACCACGAACTATGATTTGAATCATGGCACGAATTCACCAACCAAACGCATAGTAAATGATTTGTGCTCATTTTGTTCCATTAGTTTTTAATTATTTTCTGCATTCTAAGTAATTAAAACGCATTTTGTTCCATAAGTAATTAAAACTTTGCATTCTAAGATTATAGGTATGTATATAGAGTTAAGAGGGGGAAGTAGCATCTTGAATCAACAGAAAAGCCTCTTATCATTGATCATTTTCTCACGGGCAGTTTGGTTTAAACAGTTTTTCTTTTTCATCTAGGTCACTCTTAAGCATTGTTTCAATTCATAGATTCACTTGTTCACTCTTGGTATCGAAGTCTCTGATGTACACTTTTGTAACCTCTTGAATCGTCTTCTTGTTCAAATTTTGGAGTTCTTTATTTCGTCATCGTTTTGACAATGCCAGGTCGATTTGCTAAAGAACAAGTTTGGATTTGACGAGGCTTTTAACTATAAAGAAGAGCCTGATTTGGATGCAGCTCTGAAAAGGTTAGTAACTAACCCGTGCCTGCTAATTTTGAAGACTGTTAAGTATAAAGCGTCGGGTGAAGTTCCCAGATTAAACACAACCAATCACTGTTTCTAGAAGATGCTTAACATTAGACTTTGGAGTGCTAACTTTGAATTAGTCCTTTGCTTTAATGGCTTGACGGCCCTTCATGTATTATAACAGAATGATACCATACCAAGTCTCCCAAATTTTATCTTTCAATTGACGTAATCACTAATTGTATATTTTAATTTCCGAGTCTTTAATTTATGATGCGTATTGTGCATTTGGCTAATTAAAAAAGGACAAATAAATTGTTAGCCACTTGATGGTTGAAGTTTAATGTAGCTGCCAAATAGAGAAAATGTTCATTGAATGTGAGTGTTTGTTTGTTATCTGTCACTACAAGGATTGAATCAATCGCCAATTCTTTTACTATTTTTAACAGGTACTTCCCAGAAGGCATTGATATTTACTTTGAGAATGTCGGGGGAAAGATGCTCGATGCTGTGATACAAAACATTCGGGACCATGCTCGGATTGCTCTTTGTGGAATGATCTCACAGTACAACCATGAGCAGACTGAAGGTGTTCATAATCTGATGACTCTTGTCTGGAAACGGGCCCGCATGGAAGGATTCTTGGTCTTTGAACATTATCACCTCTACCCAAAGTTTCTCGAATTTCTTCTGCCAAACATCAAAGAAGGTAAGATAGTGTATGTCGAAGATGTTGCCGAAGGATTGGAGAATGCTCCGGCAGCTCTGGTTGGGCTATTCGCGGGGCGCAATGTCGGGAAACAGGTAGTCGTTGTTTCTCACGAATGACTTGCCTTTGCATATGTCTTTGGTTGCTGCAGCTCAAGCACAAACTCACTGCAAATACACTCAATCTTTATCCATGTTCAACGGAAACTTTTACTTTCAAACTCCTATGTTTGCCAGTATATCGTAGGGCCCGTTAGACAAAGCTTTTGTTTTTGTTTTTAGCCTGTAGGAAAAGAGAAATAAAAACTGTGACTTTTCAATAAGTGTTTAGAACCAAGAATTTATTAGGTCAAAATGATTTTTAAATTTTCTAATAAGCAATAAAAGTGTTGTAATTAAGTTTATAATGTCTTAATTAAACTCTGGTATAAGTTTTAAAAACCACAATTTCTGACTTTAATTGAAAGTTTTTTTAAAAAGTCTACACACTTCTGACAGATCATCTAAACACTTCTAAAAGTAGCTTTTAGAGTTGAGAAGCTAAAAGCAGCGTTTAGCAAGCTCTCCCAAACAAGCCTCATATCTCATTAGAGTTCTATTTTTTATATCCTAGGTTTTTACTTAACGAGTGTACTGTAGTTGAAGAGCATTTGTGTGTGTGTGTGCGCTCATATATCTTTTGCACCATACAGATTGCACAACCAAATGTTTTCTATTTATATGGTTATTTGAGAAGAAACAATTGATAAAACGATTGTTCTTAGCAAAATAATAATAATAATAATAAAATAAATTTGACAAAACGTCTTTGCTTATATTTTTTATAGCTCTAACCATGACTCAAGAAGAAAATAATTTGTTTGTAACAAATGGAAAAATTAATCGATAAGCAAAAAAAAAAAAAAAAGGAAAAATTAATCATATTAGACCAATGAAAGGTAACACAACATGTAACGCATTCTCAAAAGGCGTGAAATAATCATATTTTGTTGAGGCCATGTTCGTGCTTGTTAGTTAGTTCCTGAATTCCACGAAAATAAGAATAAACATGAAATTCGTTGGTATCAACGATATTTTGAATTCATGAACAAATAATTGAGAGAATTCTCAAAAGAGGTTTATTAATGATCAAAAAGATTGAACGAGAGTGTCACAAGAAAACCTTAAACCTTAATTTTCAATACTAATCAAATAACAGAAGATTGTTAAATAATAAATAATAAAAGGGTTTTTGTGTGTGTGTGTGTGTGTGTGTGTGCAGATACCATTCTCAACTTTATGCCTTTGTCAACTTGGTTCCTTGATTTTTAATCTTGACAATTTATCTCTTAAACTTTGAAATTAATAACAGTGTTAGTCAAATTGGAATTGAAGATAAAATTTAGTGGTTTCTTTTACGTGAACAATTTACACTCCGTTTGGTAAGAGGGAAAGAACATAAATTTCTAGAGGTGATATAATTATAATTTAGTTGAAGAGTTGCACATAATTTTTTTTAGTAGGAGCAAAATATGAAAGCTATGTCTATTATCTATTACTGTTGTAAAAAAGGAGAGTTCCTTATAGGCGATATTACATTTTTTGTTTGAAAATAAAATTATCGCTTAGGAAAACACTAAATATTACTTTCAAAATAACTCTAAAAAAATAAAAATTACACTTGAATTAAACGCTTAACAATAATTATAAAATGTCACTATTTATTTTCATTATTAACTCCACATGCGAAGTACATTGCTTCACTAGTAATATATAAATGTATTTATAATTGTTATTTCTTATTCGAATGGTAATTACTTTTCTGAAAAAGATATAACTTATAGGAAAGAGGATTTGTTCTAGGTACACCCCACAATTTATCACACAAGAAAAATGAAAAATAAAAAGAAAAAAATTAATTGTGCTGAGGCAACATAACAGACATGAATGAGACACTATAATGGTGATCATCGTAGCTTTTCATGGATAAGACTTGAGAGGAATGGGATCAACAAGTAATGACATGACAAGCTCCTTTGTTTCACGATCTTGAATAGCATATCCATCTCCATATAGGTACATGCTTTGTGCCATCCTAACAATGTTCGTCGCAATTTCAGTGAATGTTTTTGAGAAAGGGGAGTCGGTAACTCTATCTTCATTTATTTTCTTCCACGTTTCACGAATCAGTAACTTTATATGTTGACGAGCTTTCTCTTCTGAAACACCAGCTTCGTGCATATAGCATTGAATTGATTTAGGAACGTCACCCCTTTTAATTTCATCCTAAATTAGAAGAAAAATAACAAATAATAAATATACTTTCTCATGATAAATTCCATGAAAATAATGGATAGAGAGGATGCGGTATTTTATCTTTTAAATAAATATAATTTCCTATGAGCTAGTTATTTTTTACGTACCGACGATGTTCCGAGATCATCTAAAAGTCGAAAAAGGATTCCTGAATGACGGATTATACTCGGATACTCTTCCAAGCAAGTCAATGCCTCTTTTGTTGTAGGATTTTCAGCAAAAACGTAGACATTGACCAGTATTACTGGTACTGACATTGAAATCCATGCATTATCAATGTACTCTTGGAATGTTGGTGTGTATCCACTATAATACCATTTTGCTTCGACTAAATAAGATTTACAAAGATCTGCCCACTAAAAAAATATGATATATATGGGATATAAAGTTAGCCAGAATTATTGAATAATTAAATATTACAAGAAATTATAAACTTGTAGCTAGATAAGAATTAATTAAGACGCATGACGTAAATATTTCGTTCAAAAATTAAGGAAATAACTTAATCGATGGAGCTAGAAAAAATAAAAATAAAAACAAATTACTTGTACGTACTGCTTTCTTAAGGTATTTAATATAGTGGATGTCATGTTCCTTGAGAAAATCTAATGCCGTATCATTTACGAAATTGTGGAAGGCAAGAAAACACATCCTCATGTAATCCGGCAGTTGATCCATAGCGCTTGTATCCCATCTAATATAAATAAAATTAATAAAGATCAATATGTGATGACCTTAATTCAAAAGGCAATATTATTGAAAATGATCATGAAATCATTGAATTAATATTAATATTACTACCAAAATTATTAATTACCTCTCAACCGCATCTGTAAAGAGCTCTAATTCATCAAGTGTACCATAAACATCATATATGTCGTCGATTAGTGTTATGAAGGCATTTACTTTGGTGCCTAATCTTCTGTAGCTGCTAAATTGAGGCTCAAATGCAAATCCCACAGTAAATAGGAGATTCTCCATCAACCTATCTCTTGCAAACTCAAACTTTCCTAGGCCCGTCTTTCTCCACCACCTTTAATTACACATGATATACGACAAATTAGAATCAACATCGATTGTACGTAAAAAATAAATTACGCATATTGGAATAAATATATTAATTACTTTCATCGTACACAAATTAAGCGCACAAGAGAAGAAAATTTACTATTTTTGATTTATAATCTTGTAGATATATTGAGTTAATATATGTAACAATTACCTGGAGGCGTGTTTCAGATCTTCTTGGTGCGTAGATTGGACAATGTTGAAATCTAGTTTAGCAAGTTCAAGCAAAGAAGGGTTCATGTCTTGTCTCCTCTCGTACATATCGATGAACCACCTACTCTCCAACCTTGGTGTTCTCCAATGTAGTGGTACCTCCAATGCATGGCTCACTAGAAGACGAGACAAATTAATGTCATCATTTTGGTGTTCCTTGGAATTCTTCGTCATCATTATGTATTCCTCTAGGCATTTGGTCGTCAAGTCTCGAGCTTCCTCCAAAAAACTCTCACCTTCAACCATATGAAATGAAGCTTCATATTGTGACGACCCTCCTATGAGGCCGCCACTGTAACTTAAACTTTAACTTGTACTTACTGGGGTTTCTTAAAATTTGCGGAACATTTTTTTTTTTTTAATATAAGAAAGAATACTTTCATAATTTGTAACAATAATTTCAAATAAGTGAATCACTAAATTTCTTAAAGCTTTTCTTAATTTCAGTTAAGATAAAACGTTCTAAAAATATCTTTCAAACAGAGCAGCATTTGAACTCTTATTTCAAATGCTCTTTAAAAGTCTTTCTAAAACTAGCCAATTCAATCGGGCCATTTAATTTTGACTTTAAAACGGATTTCGTGAGAAATCTTAAATTCAAGTACATCTTAAAGCCCTTTTAAAATCAATCATTTAAATCGTCATGTTTAAAATTTATTTATTTGTTGCATGCTCTGTTGCAACGTTCTAAAACTTAAATACTCAAAACGAGGGTTGTTAGCTACAACCTCGGTTTCTTTAACATACATATGTACCTATACTTTTTAAACATACATGCTTGAAACCTTTAAATCATATATACATATACATGATTTTTCTTAAACTTACTGCGGAAGATAACTGCGTGAGCGGTATCCATTCCCATCTCCACCATTCATCCGCCGCTTGCCATTGCCCTTCAAGAATTGCTGATAGGTTTCTTACCTACA